AAATTGTTGCCAACGAAAATTGATGAAACAACAGTAGTCGCGAAGTTTAACCACTAAATAAAGGTATAAATATTTAAAAGTGCATCTGAATTATATTTATCAGGATGAATATGCAGACATATTTACAACAACTCTTATAGTTCCATAATGGCATATAGTAAACAAAGGAACATAGATGAATTGGTTATTAGATCAATACTCAAATTTAATAAAATGCAGTAAAATTGAATGATATGTTCATTGGGTGGGCCCCTCATCTACTGATGAGGGGGGCCTTACCATGTATCACGCGCATGTAACTTAAATTCCCTTTCGAAAATTTATTCACTCACATGGAGATGCCAAGACACCTCCGAAGCACTCTTAATTAGTCATGGTAAATTTTATTAACGAATTGTTTCAAGAGTGAAGAATTCCAATTAGCTAAAACTAATTAGCTAAGATTGAGATGTTGCCATTGTTTTATGAAGAGCTTATGCCCTGTAATCACATCAGGACGCCATTTTGTTTCCAACAAATGCTTTCGGTAGAACAATGTCGGCCGTTCTGATAAAAAACGGATTTTGATGAAATTGTATTTTATAAAACTTGGTTAACAATAAAAAAAATATTTGAATCATCTTATTTACAAAATCTTTTCAGTCGGTGCGATTTAACTGGGTCGGTCGCGTTAGGGGAAACAAAGGTATTTTTTATTTTGGCCCAATACATTTATCATGCCTATAAGATACTTCAAGCATTGGTTGCTATAATTTAAGACAAAAAAATCAGGGTAAACAAATTAATTATTCTAATAGAGAGCTTTCTTTGAGTTTTGAGGTTCTGTTACTTTATTAGTGAAATGAGATTAATTATTCAATATTTTCTTAATTTTAAGCAGAAATGTGTACCATAGCCTGAAATTATAAAGTATTATCCTTATCCTTGTAATTTATGTTCAAAAGAATTTATTTGCCATGTGCTATGACATAAAATGAAGACAGTCTTTATAACAGTGATGATTTTGTTTTTTCTACAAGAGGGTACATGAGTGTTTCACACCCTATCTCAGTAAAAATATCGATTATCTTTGTACTTTTTGTGCTTTTGAAGTAGATAAAGTATCTATTTATGTAAATCAGGACAAAAATTGCACCATTATCAAATTAATTCTACGAGTAGTGACCTACCTTAACAATATTTATCATTACACCTATTGTAAAGCATTCTTCCAAGAGGTATTATTCTATTGGGTATGAATTTGAAATAATTAATAGTTTTTGCAAAAACCTATGACATCATAGGAGGGTGGAATTACCTTAAGCCTTTGGCTCATGTGAGCTAAAAATGTTTAAATTGCAATTTCATAATTTGTTTGAACGGGTCGTTAATTGCCAAGTCCAGGGCTGTAACTGATATGTGCAGCTAGTCGACAGAAACACAGCATGAATATTATTTTTCGTAAGTTTCTTGAGCAACTGTTCACCGCGATGTGTAGCGTATACATCGAAAATGCATAGAGCGTGTTGTTTAAGGGGGAGGTATTTTGTCATTTTTTCGGAGATATTTGAAGTATTCGCATACTTTGTCCATTTAACATAATTTCAAAGGTCGTCCTCTTGAAGATTTTGGCACACTTGTAATATCGGTCTCTATTTTTAGTTTTTCATTTATATTTTTCACTCTTTCGTATGCCGACTTCATGCCACGGACTGTGCTTTCATTTAAATTCGTGTCTAGTTTTGCTGAAAAATGACGTGCAACTGCGGTGTTTCCATGTTGTAATTCGTATCTGGCAATTGAAGGTATTCAATGTATAACGACCATATTGTGTACCTAAAAAATGAATGGTCCTATGATTTTTTTTAATCATGGTAGCATTATGAAGATGTTATTAAAAATGCTCCACCAAAGGAATTTACAAAATTTTGATTATTATAAATATTATTATTATATTAATTAATTGCACCTTTAATTTTACATTGAAGTATATGGGCAGCAAGTGTTTTTATCAGATATTGTAAAAAGTTATTTTAATTTCAAACAAATCTCTTGGTAAAAATATGCATAAAGACCCTCTTTAATAAATTATGAAATAAAATAAATTATTTACCGCAGAAGTTTTGAGAAATCACATATTTTCTCTTTTTCATCAAGGGCAGTTAACTCTTCAAAAACTTTGAACGTGCAAAATGAGTGTCTCCTTACATGTTATCAGTCTTGTGAATTTCGTTCATTTCACTTTTATCATTATCTAGCAATGCGAATTTAACTAGTTCAAAATTATTTAAACTCTTTCAATATCCCTTCGTTATACATTGAATACTTTAAGCACGAAGTTGCCCGAATAATTGCCTTATTTCTTCCTTTTTCTTGATCCACTTGTTGGTGTTGTTGGGGTTAATGGAAATATTATTATAACCTCTCTTTCTACATTTCGATTTACAGCTTCTTGCAACGGAGAAGTAGCAATAGGAAGAAAGTTTTTTCTTTGCGAGCAAAATCGTCTTGATTGACGGGGTAGTCATTTTCAATACTGAGTTGTAAAGTACCTAGTGCTGAATAATACTCATGTTTCCACATGAGAGACCCTTTGAAGTCCTGAAAGGAGACGTTGGCCATTGATTTTATTAGAAATTCAAATAAATAACTCTTGGATATAATACATTTGAGACTCGCCCGGAATTGAATCGTTTATATTTAACCGTTACTGAACTAAATCGACGACGCGAAAAATAAGTCTCGGACATTCTGGACTCACAATTTAACATTCTCGCGATTTAATGCAAAATGGCCAGGTTGCGAAATAAAGTGCTCGCATAAAATAAGGAAACTACAGTTATATCATGTTCATGCACGGGTCTAGGGAAGGGGGTCCAGAACAACCCCCATTTTATTTGCAGAGCTATTAAATGTATATACTAATCCTAAATAAAGTGACCCCCTAGACAATCGGGACCCCTACTTGAAAACTGGGATTTATGTGAAATTGGTACGAAAGTTCATAGGTATGAAGCTGTAAAAGTCAACAACTAACCACCCCACCCACAAAATGGGTTTTTCACTTCTGGAAAAAAGTTATTTATTGCTTTTGATTTGGGTGGACACCCCCTGGAAAAATAAATCCTGGATCCCCTCCTGTATTTAAAGAGTAATTTCTTTGTTGCAGATGTGAAACCGAGGTTTGGTTCCCTTTCCTTTAGACTGCTTCGTAAATGATGTCTCCAGAAAGCAAAATTTCCTCTAAGTTCTCCTGTGTGTCATCTAGCCATCAACATGTAACAAGTTGTATCCCTGTAATATATCTTTCAAGCTGGAGTCAAGGCCATCGCCCTGAAGACCTTATTGAGGTTTTTTCCCACTATTCTCATAAATAGGTTTTTTATTATATATTAAATAAGAATGATCATGCTCTAGTATTTAAGGCTATCATACTTATATCTTTTTTTTTAAATATTTGTTTGTTTTTAAAATCGTCTATGGTACTAATGACAATATCCCTTTTTATTTAGTTCAAACAGAAAAGAGATAAGAACATCATGGAATTCACCGAGCCCTCGATGATCCTGAAGCATTCAAGTACAAGATGACTAAGCTTAGAACAGGGTGTTGTCTTCTATATATTGGAACCGGTCACGGTAGCCTGGTGGTAGAGCCTTCGCTTCGTGATCGGGAGGACCGAGTTCGATTCTCGTTCCCGGCGCCGCGTCAAACCTAAGACGCAAAAATAGGTAGTGACTGTTCCTTCGCCAAGCGCTCGGCATCAGAAGTGAAAGTCACGGGTCTTTCGGATATGACCTTAAAAGCGTAGGTCCCGTGTCACGGTAGGCGCTGACACGATAAAGAACCCTCACTGCTCAAAGGCCCTGAGTGCCGAGTATAGGTCTAAATTTGAAGCCCTTCACCGGCAAGTGGTGGCGTCTCCATATGAGTGAAAAATTCTCAAGAGGGACGTTAAACAATATACAATCAATCTATATGTTGAAAAACCAGAACAGGTGAATCGATGTACATCCTTTATCACAGACAACAACCATGTTCATGTTTAGTGTAGAATAGAAGCTTCCCAAGTTTCATCCTTTATTCACTTAACGAGTTTTACACCATTTCCCCGGTAAAATTTTGAACGTCTGGATTCGTTAAATCATTAGGTCATACGCAACGTAGTTTGAACTTTTTGGGGTTCTTCCCTGGAGTTGAAGAGAGTTCCACTAAGTGAAGGACCTGTGTGCAATATTTTTATGTCTATATATGGATTTGTACACTTCTTCTAAAACAATTTTTGATGAATTAAAATCTGGAATTTGTGTTTTATAATTTTTATACATTTTTATTTGAATAATGCAAAATTTTCAAAATTCAATATCTTTTCAAAACCTCTGGTAAGGCATGCTGATTTTTTGTCTATGAACATGTAATTATATTATATAGGGCTGGGCAATAATATCGATATTTCAATATATTGCAATACAATGACAAAAAATATCGTATCGCAATACGATTTTGTAATATCGATATATTGGCAATATACTTAGATTAAGGAATTTTGTCATTAAATATAAAAATGGACTTATGAAAGTTTGTTATTAAGCCAAACAATAGGTCAGAAGTTGTTTTGGGGGAACATTTCAGAGCATAACTAAAAGGAAATCAACAAGATTTTTTTTTCGTGTTGGTTACTTATCATAGTTATGTACATTCTGCATGTAAATTAACATAAATATAGTAAGAAAATGCCATTTTTATTACATTGAAAATATTGCAATACGTATCGCAATACAGTTTAAAATATCGCAATATATCGCAATACGAAATCTCGGGCCAATACCCAGCCCTAATATTATAAGATCTCTGAAATCTATCAGTAGGTAAGGTACGTTGCGTATGTCCTTAAATTGGAAAAAAAAGTCTATTGGAGAAATTGATATTTAAACATTGTTGTCTTTTATCATGCTGGCTACCCCAAGTGAACACAAATCCACAAGCCGCGCAGGAAGACAACAAACGCACATATGACCCCAGCCTGCTCTTTATCACAACTCTGCAATGCTCTTGACAACTCCTACAGGGTGACCAAAGTTCTTTCAAGCAACTCTCATAGACTGTATTTCCTCTCTCTATGGGCTCTGTCTTCTTGATGGTCTGTGATATCCCTTGGAAACATCAAAAAATAATATTAAAATTTCCTTCAAAGTAAAGATAAAGTGAATGAGTAACAGACTTTTAAAAAGGTTTCGCTTACAATAAAATCAGATTTAAAGGAAATAAAAAAAGTTTTTCAAGAACAGAATTTAGATTTATAGTAAATGCTTAGAAAGATGGAGATATATTATGCTTACAGTTCATCAATTGCTTCATCATAGTCATCATCAGATTCATCACCTGGAAGCCAATCTTCATCTTCCTCGTCAGAACTGTCCTCCGAGTCTGTGTCTTGTTGATCTTCACTGTTGCACTGGAGGGGCAGTACTGCTGCATCAGTCACAGTTCCCACAGATTTCTGGACCACATCTTCCGTCATAGTTGCCGTTGATTTCAGGACTGGCGTTTGACAGAAATCTGTCATTGTACCAATAGTCCTTTGGATTGGTTTCAAGTCTAACTATTCTGTCTGGATCCTCTTTACATAAACCTTCTAAAAAAAGAGAGAAAATTAAAAAAAAACTAACTTTTGCATATACATGTATACCTTGTTACCTAGATAAAAGATATTACATGAATTTAAACACTAACAAAAAAAATCTCCAGAAAATAGGAAAATTTACTTTTATCTCGGTCTGCATACATGCATCTCTTTTCTCCCCAACTGTTGCAGCTTCATCATGTTCATAGTTTTCCTCGTGAATCTCATCATCTGAATCAGGTTCAGGAGGTGGGGTGTTCAAAGCCTGTCGTTGATGACACATGTAGTCATTATATGCCTCTGATATGACCTACAACTCGAACATCAAAATAAATGAAAGGGCTTGTTGCCTTTTTTTCAAAATTTATTAAAACATTATTTTATCTAAAAATGGGCAGCTCCACATATCTTTTGCGAAATAAAGCATAGAAAAACATTTTCCGCATAAGGAATCCTGAATTTCAAAATAAACTTTATTATTTTTAATTAGTTTATGTTGTATGTTCAATGCTGTTCTCTATTCAAAATTTCTGTCTTTAATTTTGTAAGTCTTTTTTTCTGTTTTAGAAAGTTCCTATATCAAATGTTAAAATTAACCGTGCTAATTAAATGTGGAGAAAATTCAGAAACCTATTATTTGCCTGTATATTCTGAACTGTGTATTGCGCTCCATTCAAGAAATGAATATATGGTGAGCATTATAATAAAAGCTGGGTATAATACATAATTTAATTTGTGAACAAATCCTATTTCTATAAATACATACCCTCTGTGCTTCCCTCTTTTTGAAAGCTGGCTTGATACTTGGTATGACGACTTGTGGCTGTTGTGGACCTAGGAGTAGGGTCGGGTACGCATGAGGCTTTAATCTTATTTTAAATCCTGTAAGATTCATTGATTCCACTACAGATAGATTCTTCGTAAAGCAGTCCGAAGTAAAATGGTCGGAGCAAACGACAGAATGATAATTTGGGGTCCATAATTTGTCTAACGTAGTACTACGTTTGTAGAAGAAGGGTTGACTCTGTTTACTTGGTATATCCACTTCAAATAAAGATCTTTCCTCTTTTTGACATTTGGATATCTGTGAAAACTCACACCAGCAGTATTCTCTGGATTGTTATTACAATTCACAACCGCACAAATCACCATATTTTACTGATAAGCAGATCTTTTTTTGATGTCCATGTAGTAGTACTGTAGTTTTCTTTTACCGCGCTGACTTCCGATGGTAGATATAGCGTCACTTCCGGTTTTTACGCCGGAAAGTTACGAGCGATTCCGAGAACTGCCGGAAATTTACCTGTTTGTTTATTGGCTGTTTACTATGCTTTATGAATGAGTTAGAAGACGGAGACTTTTACAAGTCTTGTGTATATGTTATTTGCTTCGCGATTATGCAAAGTTGTTACGTATGTTTCCGGAGACCTTTAAGATTGGGTACTTGAGGGAGATGTTGAGGAAGTCCCTGGAGAAGTTTGTTAAGGATATGATCATATCGTCTACTAAGAACCTTATACCTGTGCCATTCAAAGACAGCAACTCCCAGCTGAATGACAAAATCATTGCCACTGGTGTAATAACTAGAGCCTACATGTACATGGTGGACCATGAGAATGAAATTTAACCAGAGGTTTTTATTGCAGATTTGTTAACTTGAGATTAATATAAAATTTTAATTTTAAGCCATTTTATTTGACATATATTTCATTTATTTACTGTTGATAGATTACTTCTAAAAATACTTAAGGGCAGTAAGAAAATTCTTCTATGCAGTGACATTCAAGATGCCGGCCAAATTTCTTTTCAAGAGTATGTTGGTATCCAACCTTGGCTTCCTAAATCCAGCAAATGGAGGAGATCTACCACCAACTGCCCTTACTGAGCTAGCACAGAGATTCACTTCCAGGATCAGTGGGAACAAAGGGAAGAGGAATTCATGAATTACCAAAACAACTCCTGCTGTGGACCTCCCTAGTTTTGTGGAAGACACAAGAACAGATGCCTGGGATAGGATTCTGGACAAAAGAAATAACATCACCAAGACACCAAGGTTTCCAGTGATTATTGATTGATTGTATGTTGTTTAACACCCTCTCAAGAATTTTTAACTCATATGGAGACGTCACCGCCCGCAGGTGGAGAGCTGCAAATTCTGTCCTATACTCAGCTCTCAGAGCCATTGAGCAGGGAGGTATCTTTTTGTGCCAGCACATACTGCGACCGGGGACCTCGGTTCATACAGTTTCATCCGAAGGACCGGTCTCCACATCCCAGAGTGGGATTTGACCTGTGACATAGGATCAACTCCGTTCTTTGTGACTCTACAGCAGTTTCCTGTGATGGTGAAATAATCAAAGTCATATTTTAATATTGAGCCAAATTCTAATGCTGAATGTTTATGAGTCTTCTCTATGGTGAAGAAAATACAGACAGAGACTTGTGCTAATTTGGACATTAAAAAAATCAGTGCTCTACTTACCACCAAATTAAAAACAAGTGTAATCTTGTTAAACCATCAAAGGACTTGCTCCAGTCCGCAAAAAAGCTTGTGTTTCATATAACAAAGACTTTGGTTCTTTTAAATGTAGTGATTAACTCTTTGACTGTTTGTGTCTTGACTGTTGACTGAAACCATCTATCCTCTGTTTTGCATATTCTTAACTGAATTTTAATGGAACATATTGGCAGATCTAGAGGGGAGGGACAGGGCTCTCCTCCTTTTTTAAAACAAATAAAGGACTGTGCCTTTTCTGCTCACTAGAAAGAGTATTGCGTATTGCTTTGCTTATAGATACCCGTTATGCCTTCACTACTTTGCCCCGGGCCCCGACCACCCACACAATGTCATTTGAAATTTATAAGAAATTTATAAGTTCTTGAAAGAAAAATGCTCTTCTTAATTACCATACTAGTAACATGCAAGATTTCAATATAGGAAGATTCTGGCGATAACATTTTTGGACAATCTTCCAAAGTAACTTAGGAATATGCAAAAATGGATATGATAAGGAGTATTATAAAGAGAAATATTTTCTCCATATAGCAAGAGAATATTTAAGTCAATGATTGATTAATTGTATACCGTTTAACGTCCCTCGCCAGAATATTTCACTGATATGGAGACGTCACCATTGCCGGTGAAGGGCTGCAAATTTAGGCCTATGCTCGGCACTCAGAGCCCTTTACGACAAGCAAGGGGGAACTGAGGACCTATTCTAACCCGGATCCCCACGGGGTTTAAGTCAATGAAGAAAAACGTATAAAACGCCCCACCCAATAATCCCTCGCCTGAGAGTAAGAACTTTTTATTTCACTGATATGGAGACGTCACCATTTGCCAGTGATTGAATTTGAATGTTTTAAACCAGATGCTATGCTATTCACAATTTTTAGGCACCATTGATCATCATAACAGTACACTTAGCAGTTGCTTAGTTTGTTTACTTAATACATAGGCAGGGTAGGGGAACAAAAAATGCATTTCAAGTAATCAGTAATATTCAGCAATAATCAGTAATGCCCCTATCACACATCAACCCCTGACCCTTAATAGATACACACATTGCATAATTTTTGAAAAGGCACCCTTGCTTTTCAAAAATATTTGATTAATACCAAGGAGCAGATTTCAAACAATTCATCCAGTTTCAGTATATAAGTACAGTCCCCACTATGGTACCCCTGACCCTGGGGCCTTGAAATTCACAACTCTGGAAGATTAGCAACCTTGGATCCCCACGGGGTTTAATCAATGCAGAGAAGAAAAACGTATATAAACGCCCCACCCAACATAAAATTCACAATTTTATAGAAGCACTCTTGCTCATCATAACTATGCACTTAGTTAGTTTATTTAATACCCAGGAGCAGAGAAGAAGATTTTCAAAGAATTCATGATTTTCACTATATAATCAATAGAGCCCCGCCCTAACACCAGAACCCCTGACCCTGGGGCCATAAAATTCACAATTTTAGTAGAAGCAGTCTTTTATGCACTTAGTTAGTTTATTTAATATGCACTTTTCAAAGAATAACACCAGAACCCCTAACCCTGGGGCCATAAAATTCACAGCACTCTTGCTCATCATAACTATGCACTTAGTTAGTTTATTTAATTCAAAGAATTCATGGGGCCATAAAATTCACAATTTTACCCAGTAGCAGAGAAGAAGATTTAAAAAGAAATAATGCATTTTCACTATATTCTTATTTAGCCCCGCCCTAGCACTAGAACCCATGACCCTGGGGCCATGAATTTCACAATTTTGGTAGAGGACTCCATGCTGATTACAATCATGCAAACAATTTGATTGCTTGATGTCCAGGAGTAAAGAAGAAGATTTTTAAAGACAAAAAAAAGTTCCCCTTCACCCATATGCTTTTTGCCTGCAGAGAAGAAGATGAAAAAAGCACACACAACACAAACCGCCCCCCCACACACAACAAAATTGAACTTTATGGGTGCTCAGTTTAATATTTTGTTATTTGTCAGCTTTATTCAGGGTTTTTGAAGTCGATTTTAAGGTGCTTAAGTGCATTTGGTGTGATTCTATGATTTTGGGGTACGGAGGGCACAAACCTGGAAGACCCTTTCAAAAATTGCTGGATTCGCCTCTGGTTCATGTTTGTGATGATGTTCTTTTAGCTTCATAACACGTTTTTTGCTTGAATTACAATACTAACACATAATTAATTAATAGTGCAAGATTAATATTGTGTGACATAGCGTAACGAAAACTCTTGAGTGGAAAATAAACGAATTCATTATAATAAAGATCTAGAAGGCATGTCCGAATGCATGATAAAAAAAGCCTCAAGGGTAATTTGATGATGGTAATAACTAAAAAACTTGCAAACGAAGAAAGTGTAACAATTGATGGGTTTGTGTATTCTAATTATGCAAGTCGGCCATTGAGGATCTGTGATTTGCTGAAGCAAATCACATGACCTAAAACAAAGATATATAATCAAGCGCAGCTTAGCTGCGAGGTTCCTTTAGTCCGATTGCCAGAGGGAAGAACAGGCAGATTTCAGCGATATGGTTAGTCGGAAGGGTGGCCTAGTACTACTGAGGCTTACCACAATATTTTATCAATACTAGGTGGATTGCCTGACGATGGAGGCTTGCCACAATAAAGAAGTTAGTATTGTGTGACTAACCATTTAGAGGCCGACCATAGAGTGAAGTCAACCCTTGAGGCTTACCTGGTAAGCTTTTAAGATAGTGTAGGTCTCTGATAGCAGTAGATGACTGTACGTCCTGAATAAGGACAATTCAGTATCTTCTGCCGTCAGAGGCTGACCACTTGGATATTGGCCTTAGTGTCGTGACTGACACTACGAGCCTGAATAAGGCAACATTGGTGTCAGTCCGGTGCTATCGGGCGAACCAGTGATTTTATAAATATAAGGCCGACAATCAAGTGTGATTTTCCCCTAAGTAAGGGAAGGGCCCAATTTGTATATATTTGCAGGCCAATCATTTTATCTAATCATTTTTAAGAGGAAAATTATTTATTGTAAATATCATCTTTACCGAGATCCTGGAATCAACCAGGTACGACCCTTAAACACATTACAAAAGGAAAGGACCTGATATTCACAATCTGGATACCCTTGTTAGTTTATTGTTTTCGTTGTGGGCAAAGTTCAGATTAAACAAGACCATTTTTTTCGGGCCGACGGACGTTCATCATCAGGTCACCGTATGTCGCAACATAACACGTATCGTCATACCTGTCGGTGTGACGGTGTCACCTTACTAATAAGGGCTGACAGGGAACAAAGTCGATTCATTTCATTATCAGAAACTATGTAGAAGTTATTAAAGTATCTACCATAATTTATTGTACTTCCGGTGAGAAGGTCTCTGTTTACATTGTTTTTACCTGGCCAAGTTTTATACCTGGTCTGCCCTGCGGGGGTCGTCATATTAAGGTCCTTTGGTTTGTAAAATCTGCAGACGGTCAAAAGAAAAACAGACCACAGGCAAACCGATCAAACAGCTGATCAGCCTCAGTCTGCGCGCTATAGAAATACTTTTTTTTTAAAATTTTATCCGAAGAAAGTTTATTGGGGGAGTGGGGGGGAGGGAAACTGAAGATTGTATGAGTATTGTTGGATATTCACAATACAACAGTACTTCGTTGCAATGAATTAGTTATCATTATACATATACCTATGTGTATATAAGTTAATGGCTATACAAACAAGAGTATAGTTAAGGGTACTAGATTGTCTACATACTAATACTTCTACAAAGACTCTCGGGCAGTAGAATGGTTCAAGATTTCAGATGTGTTCAGACGTTTTCTCTGTTTATCATTAAATTAAAGAAAGTATACATCTTTACTTCTGAAATTGCATAAGACATGTTGGATTGCTTTGAAATCGGAGGAAAAATGTTCAAACGAAGAATATGTATTCGATCATACAACTATATGATAAAGAATTATTAAGAAATCGATAGAAAAGACAATGAAATTTAATTAAGACACAAGTAAAATGCATATGTCTCTGTAAAATGTTGTATCAGTGTTTGAAATAACCGTCCGCCCGAGACGCATAACTTTTGGCGCGGGCGTACAAATTTGTTTATACGAGCGACTGATTGGAGGTGCTAATTTTTTTTTAGCTAAGTATATTTTATATTGCGATCGGGGTTTTAATTACTTAATCCTAGTTTCGCTGTCGCTTAGGGGACGACCATTTGATTCTGAGGGGGGGGGGGGGGGCTGGCAGATTTTGGAAATAAATAATCTGTCCCTGAAAATATTGAAAATAAATAATCTTTCCTCCACTACAGAGAAAATAAATAATCTGACCTTGAGTTATGATATTTAAATATTGTGAAAAATACCTTTTTATTTACATGTAATTTAATCTCAAAAGTATTCAATTCAAAAAAATTTTTTTGGCTCGCTTCGCTCGACATTTTAGAACCAAATAGTATTTAAAATCAGATTACCAGACTGGATACTTAACATGCTAAAGTCAGTTTGTCAACATGACAATGTGCACTTAGTAGGTGTGATAAATAACAGTACTTTAAATACAAGCCAATTCTTATACACCATTAAAGATAAATTTTCTTGTCGAAGAATAACACTTCCCCGATACATCAATACAAAATATAGACTGGTGGATTTAAGTGGGACGTACATGTGTACAACCCCTCCTCTAAAATTTCAAAGTATGATACGAATATAAATAATAATGCCATACTTAGGGACAATACCAATATTTTTGTGCCTAGTTTTACTCTTAAAATACACAAAAACCCAAGAGCTTTAGGGGGCTTTGCCCCCTCGGCCCTTTTCATTCAAAGTATGATATGACTAGTATTAATAATGTCATACTTTGGTACATATCTAACCAATTCCTACACAATTTTGTCTGGTTTTACTCTTACATACAAAAAAACCCAATGACCAGTATTAATTATGTCATACGTGGTTCATAATAACCAATGCCACTATAATAGTACCTGGTTTTAATCTTAAAATACAACCAAAGAGCTTCGGGAGGAAGGGGGGGGTGTTACTCACTTGGCCTCCAGCAGGGCTTCGCCCAGGACTTGGGGGCCTTACGGCGGCCCCAGACCTCTTGCCTAAACGAAGTTATACACGCCCCTCCCCAAATCCTGTATCTGCCTATGGTATATAAATGATTAGTCTTTAAATAGAATAAATTGATCACGGTACGGGAAGACAAGAAAATAAATAATCTGTCCTTGATAATCTTGAAAATAAATAATCTGTCCTCGACAGGCATGAAAATAAATAATCCGTCTCAAAAAAATTTGCCAGCCCCCCCCCCCCCCCCCCCCCCCCTCAGGATCAAATGGTCGTCCCCTTAACTGGTAGGGTCAAAAATAAAAAGTCAGACAAGTGTCTTATTCACGTTGAATATGATTTGAAGCGACAGCATGCTACAAAATTATTTAAGGCTACCAGCCCTAAAAAGAAAGGTGGAAGATAACAAAACAAGCAAAGAAAAAAAAAACAAAGTGTACAATGAAACGAAAACGAAAAATTTTGCCATCCTAGAAGCAGGAATTCAATTGGATTGTATGTGATGATACGAGAAAAATTATATATATTGTGTCGCTCTACATACGGACATCTAAGCAATAAAAAAAGTAAGTGAACGATTAAACAAGTACTCGAAGGGTCCCTTTGTCACCGTTTATTCAAACTTACGTCATGACGGTCTGGTCAATCACGAGCAGTCAGAGGGTCACAAATATACTTGCGAGATAAGCAAAAATAAGCGTGCATCTACAAGTGCAGCTGCTGTAAAAAAAACACTGCAGTCCCTAAACAAAAGTGTGTTTGATAAACTTGAAAAGTTATTCAGGAACAGTAATGCAATAGCAAAAGTATGCAGACATCTGTCAGATTTTACATGGATGGCAAGATTTGATGAAAAAAAGGCATTGACGTCGGTCAGATATAAAGAATTATAAACAATTGTAAAGAGTTTCTTGTATCAATTGCTGCTGTTGGGCGTAAGAAAATAAATCTCAGTCCAGTGCTCAGCAAAACGCACAACAGTCCCTAAAAAAGTGTGTTTGATAAACGTGAAAAATTATTCAGGAACAGTCATGCAATAGCAAAAGCATGCAGAACTCTGTCAGATTTTACATGGATGGCAAGTCTTGATGTATACAGTTTGGAGATGAAGCAGTTTCAGCATTTTCAGACTATAACCATGACAACCTTGCTGCACAGTCTGACAGAATATTAAAACTTCCCTTGTTGAGATTGATTGCTAAAGCATTTATTATATGAAAGGATGTCATTACATTTGCACACTTTTTGATGTCAATACAGTTATTTCCATATGTCTACAAAAAACTTATTGTAAAAAAGGAACGTGTTTATCAAGAAAGTTCCTGCAAATATATAAATTTTTGTAAGAGTTTGTCACACATTGAAGTATTGCTACTAAAACATGAACTCTACAAAAAATTAATATTCTTGTTGCTGTCAATTTCCGCAAGATACCAGGGGTAGTTTTCCTTATATAATCCTTTGGGGAAGAAAAATAATTTTCCAATTTCAAATGTTTAAGTGTTTGGTTTGTTAAAAAACGTTTAGAAACTGGTTAAGAAATCAGAATGTTATTTAAATTTTGAATATTTTTCATACATTACGAAGACATACAAAACAGATTTTGAGGAACGTCTCGTCTAACCTTTAGTTCACAGACATCTTGAGCTCACAGCAACTAATCTACGGAAGCTAGAAACTAGATATGTTGATGAAAAGTTGTAATTGTACTTTGTAGTCAATGTACTGCTTGTTGAAAATCTTTATCAAAAAGGATATGAAGATAACGAACACTATTCAATCTCAAAGTCCATTAAACAATATACAAAATCAGAGCAGAGCAAAAACGCACCTCCGAAATATCAGAGGTGGGATCAGGTGCCATGGAGGAGTGAGCATCCCCTGCCGACCGGTCACACCCGCTGTGTAACATTAACCCATTACTGCATGCTTTTGTAGCATGTATATAATGCTATGCATCACAAAATCCACATTATTAGCTGCTACATGTTTTCCATATAAATGATCAATAACATAATTAATCTAAGAATATTAATCCTTCTTTGTTGTAATAACTTGTATGGTGTGATTGCACTGAATGTTTATGTTGTGGTCTGCTTGCTTTGCTTGTAGTTCATTGGTGAATATGTTAACTTACAGACCAGGATTAGAATTACCTAAAATAATGGATTGTGACGTGTTTTATGGAGTTGCATTCAGTCAATTGACTGGCGACACTTCCAGATCACAGATGCCAAAGAAGATTTCAGCTTTGATTGTTTGTATACGGAAAAGATTTTTTGATATTGATGCAGGAATTACCAGGAAGCAACTGGTTGATGTAGATTGATTTTATATTGTTTAACGTTCCTTTCGAGAATTTTTTACTCATATGGAGACGACACTACGTGGAGGGCTACAAAATTTTGTCCTATGCTCGGCACTTACGGCCTTTGAGCAATGAGGGATCTTTTTCGTGCCAGCACCTACTGCGACACGGGGCCTCGGTTTATACGGTCTCATCCGAAGGACAGGTCTCCACGTCCCACAGTGGGATTCGAACCCGAAAACTTAAAAGTTTTTAATTATCGTATTAAAGTGTGAAATCTGCATAATGTCAAGGTTTTGCAATATCATATCTCTACACGGGGAAACATGACGGAACCGTGACATGCACCGTGTTCTGAAGACTTTTGGTTTACCTGTTTACTCTGCAGCGGCAAGCAAAAAGGGTGGGGTGGGAGTGAGGGGATGAGGGGTTGTTGTTGTACGTGTATAGCCTTTCACAAGCGATATACCCAACCACCCTTAATCACTAAACATTTAAAGATTTTTGGGAAAATGTTGGTGTTTCTAGCAAGTTTATTCCTTTATTGTTCTAGCTTACTTCATTGAATAATGCATAAAATATCATAGCATTAAATATACACGTGAACAGGCGATTGCTAGAATTATATGTGTACTAGCAGTTATTCCTTCTTTCGCTTTTAGGCCATCCTTAAAAAATTGTTGTTTTTTCTTTTTGCGGTAACGCAACTGACTCTCCAAAGTCCACGCTATTGGATTTTTTATGGGTTCATTTTTTTTACGTATCCATTTTTTCGTTATATCCAATTGATATTTTCTACGTCTCAACTGCACCTACGCCGTTTTTATCCAATTGATATTTTTTACACCTCGGTTAAACCGACGCTTTATCTTTCTCCCAGGAACTATTAAAACGTCTTCTTCATCTACAAATTTATGCCCTGTTCACACGGAGAGTTTAATTCGAATTAAACGTAAGTTTACTGCGAATTAGCTTCGCTTAGCGTTCACACGGAGAATTTAATGCGAATTAGTTTACTTCGTATTAGTTTACTGCGCATTAAATTACTTCGCATTAGCTCCGTGTGAACGCTAAGCGAAGCTAATTCGAATTAAATTTTAGGGCATGCGTAATGGCTAAATTAAGTCAAATGCATCATGTCGGTGGTCAATTTTAAGTACTTTTGCTATTTTTGAGTCAAAAACTAAGAAAAAATGTCTTAATCACTAAAATATGTCTCCAGACACTGTGCTCTGTGTCAGAAGAATGGAGAGACCCGAGAGTTTTACACAACCCATTTACTGAAGGACAATCGGGGAAAGATCATCTGTCCCATACTCCGCAAGTACGTGTGTCCTACATGTGGTGCCACTGGTGACAACGCTCACACTCTCCGACACTGCCCAGTCACCAAGGCCAAGGAGCTTGCTTGGTTTGGACAGTGAACTCATTTCTTGGTGTCAAAGTCATTCTAGTCAATAAGGCAACCAAAAAAGCTTGGTGTGGCAAGTGAATGTGTTAACAAGAGTGAAATGCAGATCCTAATCTAATCAAAGAATTGTGGATTTTATTGGGTGTGCTGAAGTCTTTAAAACAGAGTTACACTTGGATACCATAAGAAATTTGTGAATATTAGAAAATGAACATTTGTAAATATAATAGAAATGTGGCATGTAAAATAAATACATATATTCATGATATCTATGCAATATAAATGTCATTTCAACAGCAGAATACATTGTATCTCCAATGTTTGGATTATGGTTTTTTAGGTCACCTGAGTAAACTCAGGTGACCTATTGCTATCCGTTTTAATCCGATCGTGATCGTCCGTTGTCCGTCGTCCATCGTGTGTTAACATTTGAACATTTTCAGCTTCTTCTCTGCAACCACTGCACCAATTTCAACAAAATTTGGCACAAAGCATCTATGGCTAAAGGGGAACAAAAATTGTGAATTTCATGATCCCTGCCCCCCTGGGGCCTGAGGGGCGGGGCCAAAACCACTAAAATTAATGCAATCTTTAAAAATCTTCTTCTTTACTCCTGGACATCAAGCAGTCAAACTGTTTGCATGATTGTAATCATCAATGAGTCCTTTACCAAAATTGTGAAATTCATGGCCCTGGGGTCAGGGGTTCTAGTGCTAGGGTGGGGCTAAATAAGTATATAGTGAAAATGCATTATTTCTTTGAAAATCTTCTTCTCTGCTCCTGGGTATTAAATAAACCAACTAAATACATAGTTATGATGAGCAAGAGTGCCTCTACCAAAATTGTGAAATTTATGGCCCCAGGGTCAGGGGTTCTAGTGTTAGGGTGGGGCTCTATAGATTATATAGTGAAAATACATGAATTCTCTGAAAATCGTCTTCTCTGCTCCTGGGTATTAAATAAACTAACCAAGTACATAGTTATGATGAGCAAGAGTGTCTCAGCCAAAATTGTGAATTTTATGGCCCCAGGGTCAAGGATTCTGGTGTTCTCTATTGATTATAAAGTGAAAATACGCGAGTTCTTTGAAAATCTTCTTCTCTGCTCCTAGGTAGTAAATAAACTAACTAAGTGTAAAGTTATGTTGAGCAAGAGTGCTTTTACCAAAATTATGAATTTTATGGCCCCAGGGTCAAGTGTTCTGGTGTGTGTAGGAGGGGTGGCTCTATTGATTATATAGTGAAAATACATTAATTCTTTGAAAACCTTCTTCTCTGCTCCTAGGTATTAAATAAACTAACCAAGTGCATAGTTATGATGAGCAAGAGTGCCTCAAACAAAATTGTGAATTTTATGGCCCCAGGGTCAAGGGTTCTGGTGTTGAGGGGGGGGGGGGGGTAAGGCTCTATTGATTATACAGTGAAAATTCATGAATTCTTTGAGAACCTTCTTCTTTGCTCCTAGGTATTAAATAAACTAACTAAGTGCATAGTTATGATGAGCAAGAGTGCCTCAACCAAAATTGTAAATTTTATGGTCCCAGGGTCAGGGGTTCTGGTGTTGAGGGGGGGTGGGGGGGGGGCTCAATAGATTATATAGTAAAAATACATGAATTTTTGAAAATCTTCTTCTCTGCTCCTAGGTATAAAATAAACTAACTATAAGTGTATAGTTATGATGAGCAAGAGTGCTTTTACCTAAATTGTAAATTTTAATGTCCCAACGTTAGGGGTTCTGGTGTTGAGGCAGGGCTAGTTTGACTATGTATTGAAAATACGTGAATTCTTTGAAAATCTTTTTCTATGCTCCTAGGAATTAAATAAACTTACTAAGTACATAGTTATGATGAGCAAGAATGCCTCTTCTTAAATTTTGAATTTTATGGCCACAGGGTCAGGGGCTCTGATGTTAGGGCGGGGCACTATTGATTATATAGTGAAAATACATTAAATCTTTGAAAATTTTCTTCTCTGTCTCTGGGTATGAAGCAGATGAACTACCTATATAGTCATGATGAGCAAGGGCCCTAATCTTGCAGAATTGTGAATTTCAAGGACCCTGGTTTAGGGGTGGGGAAGGGGAGGGGGCTCTACTTATATACTGAAAATGAATTAATTGTTTGAAATCTGCTCCTTTGTATTTATAAAACATTTATTTTTTGAAAAGCATTTTAAGAGTGCCTTTTTAAAATTTGTGCAATGTGTGGACTTAGGGTCAGGGGTTTACGTCACAGTGTTAGGGGCACTACTGATTATTGCTGAATATTACTAATTAGTTGGAATGCATTTTTGTTCCCCTACCCTATGATGGGTATTCAGTAACCAAGCTAAGCAACTGCTAAGTGTACTATTATGATGATCAATGGTGCCTCTTTCAAAATTGTGAATGCCATATATATCATCTGGCTTAAGTTAAAACATGAATCAAATTCAATAACTGTAAAGTTGTTGCATAATGCTCAGGTGACCTATAAGGCCCGTGGGCCTCTTGTTTTAATGCTTTGACTATGAACAAAATGTTATGCAGCCCAAAATTTTAAATCATGAACTACATAACTCCAATATTTTTATTATGAAATAAATTTCTGATCACCTGTACATGTATTTTCCAACAGATAAATTTTGAAATTCACTATCATTCCATTTAACATGTTGAAGAAATGAGTTGAAGGTGAAATTCATACACTCTAGTTCAAAACAAAAAATTACCATTTCCTAGATGCCAAAAAAAAAAATTGATTGTATGCTGCATTTAACTTCTCATATCATATCAATGGAATCTAAATATTTCTAAATTGTATCTTTTTATTGATAATTCTTAAATACAAAACAAAATGTCTTTTAAATATTATGTTTCTAACAGATGACAAGATGGCAGATGACCTTTTTAATTGAGTTTATATTTCTATTTTCAGTTGAAAACTTGTATTGATAGAAAAATATATCCCCTTTTTATATCAAACCAAAAAATTGTTATTTTTAAAACATATATTTGAATGTATGAAGACAAATTACTTATTGCTTGTTATGACTTTGCTAACATTTATAAATTCAAAATTGTTTACTTTATATCGGATCTTTTTAGCATGCAGAAACCTACTAATTAGAATTTTGTTTATTTCTGTTCTTTTGATTAACAATTGCATGTATTATCATTTTTCCAACTGTATTGTTCACGTTTAATTATGAAAATAATTTTGCTGTTTATTTTTATGCATTTAAAAAAAGGCATAATCATTGCTACAGCATTGTGAAACAAAAAATTTGAAATGCCTTTAAAATCATGATCATGGTGTATAATTATGTAGTACTGCTTAAAATCATGGAAAGAAATAATTTGCATATGGATTGCATGTTACTTGAAATGACCAAGGTACTGGTCATGATATTTGTTGTACAAAAGGATATTTTTATTATTATATGTTTATAATAAAAATTATTTATTGAAATTGATCTTTTTTCTTTGTATTTCCCCCAAAAATTGTGGATTCTGCTTATAGAAAATTGTACTTATTGTATATGAGTACTATACAAGTCAAGCTGAAGTTCATATAAGGGTATATTTGCATATGGTAGATGTAAAATTACTCTTGGTCTCTGTTAAATTGTTTGTTTATGCTTGTACTTGTTGCCATAAAGTTGGGTAATGTTTATCTATACCTCAGAGCACCAAAGAACTGGTCTCCTGGGGTTGACTAATCCAGTTCCCACGACACCTTGGTACTGAAGGTCTTGGAGGGCCAGCATCAGGTTGTGGAGCTGTCCAGTCTTGGAGGTTACCTCCTCGTGGAGGGGGGAACTCCGTGAGGCCATCTCCTCGTAAAGTGGGGAGCTCCTAGAAGGCATACAGGAGGAACTAGCCGAGCTGTGATCTTCAAAGGTCGGGCTACCTCGGTAGGTCTTTGGGTAGGGCAGAGAACAGGATGAAGTTGAAAAGTCGGAATGGGACCCCTCCTCTTCAGTCAGGTCACTCATGGATGGAAACTCCCCATTGCTAGAGTAGAACACATCACCATTGTTCATCCATAGGGACTTGGGCTGAGGGGGTGAGGGGTCCTTCCATTGGGAAAACAGGGAATCATCACACTTGGCATCAGATTTCGATGAAGTGTGTTGCCGTGGTTACTAAAAAAAGATATTTCTGTGAAATTCTTTCGAAACGCTCCTCCCCCTCCTACAGTTTTGGTCTGATTTCAATATAACTTGGCACACAAGTAAACTATACATAATTCTGTGTATCGGTTTTTTGACTTTGATGAACATTATTGCTTTTGTTACCAAAAATAGAAATTTCTGTTCAATACTCTCAAAATATTACTCCAAATACAGTTTGGTAAATGTTTTACCGCAAAGACCTGCTTCTTTAATATGGGAAAACCAACGAGGTCCAATATTGTTTACAAGCCATCGAGATACAACCACCAGTACGTTGTCAACTTCATTTTCAGCTAGCATTTATAATAGTAGCCTTCCCGCACCATCATCATTTGATCCTTCATGGATCACTGCTTGTGAAGCGATAAGCATAGACGTTATGGCTCGCGCTGGGTACGGTTTCGATACGCATGATTTCCACTAATGATCGTTGAATCGACTTGAATGGAATGCTCATAAAAGCGGTTTCCATTGTCCTCAATTGACTTTCCAAGGTTAACGGTAATCTTGACTGCGTCGCTGGAAATCACCTCATCTGCAGTTGAAAGAGATCCCACTTGTCTCTGTAGATTGAACAAGAAATCTGTGAGCCAATGATCACTAGTAATACCCCCGCTCTGATGTAAATAAGCACTATCATGTTAATATACTGTTTACACAAGTTCAATTACAGGCAGATGAAGTTGACATCAAATTCATATCAAAATTAATCCCACCATACGACATGCCTGAACAAAATCTGTAATAAAATTTCAAGCATCTGCTATGAATAGCTAATGAGAAAACTGCAACGAAGATTTGTCATGTACGAAACGGACAGACGCACAGGCAAACAGGAAGTTGATATCAGATTTAAACAAAAATGTATCCCACCATATGGCATGCCTCAGAGAAGATTGTATTAAAATTTCAAGCATCTGCAATGAGTAGTTGCTGAGAAAACTGACAAAAATTTGTTATGTATGAAACAGACAGACGCACAGACAAACAGGAAGTTGATATCAGATTTAAACAAAAATGTATCCCAATGTATGGCATGCCTCAAAGAAGATTGTGTTAAAATTTCAAGCAGCTGCGATGAGTAGTTACTGAGAAAACTGCGACGAAAATTTGTTATGTATGAAACGGACAGACGCACAGACAAACAGGAAGTTGACATCGGATTTGAGCAAAAATGTATCCCACCATATGGCATGCGTCAGAGAAGATTGTGTTAAAATTTCAAGCATCTACGTTGAGTAGTTGCTGAGAAAACTGTGACGAAAATTTGTTTCGGACAGACACACGGACACACAGACAGACGGACGGACGGACAGACAGACAGACAGACACACAAGGGTAAAACAGTATACCCCCCTCTCCTTCGGAGCGGGGGTATAATTACTCTGGGTGAAGATAAGCTTAATTTTAGTTACAATATTTCGTTCTGCATATTTTCTTTGGACTTCATACAACTGTATTCGTCGTTCCCGTATCTCCTCTGGTCGTAGCTGCAGATCTGTAGCTATCCGGATAAATATATATTGATAGACCGGATAGCTACAGTGCCATCCATTTAAAAAACTGTAGATTTATTGCGCACAAAAAAGTGCGCTCGGTTCTGGGTTTATTCTTCCAAATTCTCACCTCAATTGCAAAAGAGGGAAGATTTAAAAAATTCCCTCTTCTACATTCGAAGTTAACATCTGAACAAAGAATATTGGACCGAATAATATTTGAAACCAAAATGACAGTATATATAATCGAAGTGTTCGATGATGACAATATCAGGGTCAGGAGGACTATTTACAACAATTATGACGAATGTTTTGTTGTGGAAAGAGTCAAAGAATATGTTAGGAACACACGGTTAGTAATATTTTGAGATTACAGTTTTAGGAACATGGGGAAATAAATCGAAAACCGAGCGCACTTTTTTGTGCGCAATAAATATACAGTTTTTTTCAATGGGTGGCACTGTAGCTATCCGGTCTATCAATATATATTTTTCCGGATAGCTACAGATATCCGGTCTATCAATATATATTTTTCCAGATAGCTACAGATCTGCAGCTACTCTGGTCGTTGTTGGGCAATTTTCCTTCAAAACTTTTATATTCTTCATAACAAGATCATTTTGGGCTTTATCGACAAATTGCACACAAACTGGTCTTGGAAATTTTCGCTTAGCATCATATTCTCCCATTCGGAAGAGTTTCTGTTTTTGTAATTCATCAACCACTATTTTCACTCATATGGAGTCGCCACCACTTGCCAGTGGAGGGCATTCAGGGCCATTGAGCAAGGAGGGATCTTTTTCGTACCAGCTCCTACTGCGACACAGACAGGACCTCGGTTTATACGTATTCATCCGAAGGACCGGTCTCCACGTCCCACCGAGGGATTCGAACCAGCGACGTAAGGATTGACTCCTTACTTCGCGACTGTAGAGCAGATGCTCTCACCAACGGCCACGCGGGCGCCCGAACAACTATGAAATTTCGTTATGCTAACAGAGCTACAAAATCCGTGCGGGTATATGACTCGCCTTATCCCCCCAGATTCTCTGATCGCGAAATTTTAGTGCTTAGCCTAATCTCTGCATTACAGTAAATATTTAAACGATGGAGAACCCTGGGATGGTTTGCACAACTGTTTATAAAGTGTAAATGCATTTTCTCTTTGTTACTCTGATCTACCTCTTGGTATTAATTAACCAAAGTAGGCATGCAAAGTGTACAGTTATGATTAGCAATGGTGCCTCTTTGAAAATATTGCAAATTCCACCTTTATGATCTAGTACGTTTTTTTATTTTTATCAGCTGTAATCACATAGCGTCTTAAATATAAAGAATACAAAAGCCTGAACTAATCAAGGAATAATCACTGTATGTGGACCATTAACTTTGCTATAATTTTTTTCATCAAAGGAATTAATTGAGGGATTATGTCTCTAAAACTGTTAAAAAAGTTTTATACCCCTAGTTCGGTGAACAATATATTTTAATTATTTTGAGTTCATTGAAAAGTAAACTTGATTTCACAAACAATTTTTCGTGAAAGTGTTTCATTTTACATTTTATTGAAATATTTTACTTGCTCCATAGCCAATCTTAAAATGTCATCTTTAGGCCGAAATAAAAAAAATCCTCTGTTTCCCCTAACCTGACCGACCCAATTAAATTGCGCCGACTGAAAAGATTTTTTTAATAAGATAATTCAAATTTTTTTTATTGTTAACCACGTTTTATAAAAAACAATGTCATAAAAAGTTTTTATCAGAAAGGCCGGCAATGTTCTACTGTGATTTTCAAGCATTTGTTGGAAACAGAATCACGTCCAGATGTGATTACAGGGCATTAGCTCTTCATAAAACAATGGCAATGTCTCAATCTTATGCTTTTAGCTAATTGGAATTCTTCACTTTTAAAAACAATTCGATCGTGAAATGTACCATGACTAATTAAGGAGGCTCATTACACCACTTTCTGATGACGTACTACACAAAAAAATAAACCTCCACTGTGTCGACCGGTTTCCTCTGGGGACGAATTGTACAGGTACCTCTATTATATGACACTGACCTTTAAAACGCTTTAAAAATAGAGGAAACATGCGGTGTTATAGAAAGTGAAAACAAAGTAACGGATTCATAATGCATAAACCGAAAAGAATTGCTATTGGGCAGAAACAAAAGAAAACAACAGCCAATTCTTCGCCAAACAAGTAATGTTAATTTCATAGCGATGCATGCAGTGAGCTCTATCAATCAATGACATGTTTGTATGGAGGAAATTCGAGTTAAAATGTGCACCCTCGTTGAAATAAAAAAAATTACTTACTCGCATTATTTACTGTGTTGATGTTAATTTATATATTTGCTGTATTGATTTAAATTATACTCTGGCAATTTTAAGTTTTGTTCTGAATTTTAGATGTAATGTCCAAACGTTCCCTAGTGTTTTGAGTTTTGGGTAATTAGGAATTATAACTCTTGAAAGTGGACTTTTCATTCCAAATATTTTTAGTTGGATTTTTCATTTCGTTTAAACATTCTTCATTCAATTTGACACATGTGATTCATTGAAATAGGTTCCTTGTTTCTTCAGGTCTCATTAACTCTTGAAAGTGGACTTTTCATTCCAAATATTTTTAGTTGGATTTTTCATTTCGTTTAAACATTCTTCATTCAATTTGACACATGTGATTCATTGAAATAGGTTCCTTGTTTCTTCAGGTCTCATTTTCTTAATGTTTTATGCATAGATTAAAATGATAATGACATTGATTGTTTTTAGGCGAAAATTATTTTTTCTAATAAAATTATTATTAGGTATTATGAGGTATTTTCACTGTGTGTACTTGTCTTAAGAAGATGCCCATCAGTTGACACTGAAAGTTCAGAAATTCTGTTAATAATAAACTTGAAATAAAACATTTCACTAAAATTAGACAAAAACTAAAAATTTCTATTAAATATATTTATTCCCATCTGGATATTTGACATCTACCTTATAAGTGATGCTGTACTGAAATCTAAAATAAACTGTGGATGTAATGAGCCACCTTAAGAGATTTTCGGAGGTTAATCTAATTATGGTATGACTTATCTATTAACGGAAGTTGGGGTTATCTACCCTTGCTATCTCTGTAATTTACTGCCATGTCTGAATGCTCCACTGTACAATAAATTCTGTCTCATACACCCAACCAGTGTCTGTAAATAATAATGATACACTTTATAAATAGTTTTGAAACCATGATTCAGCTTCCTGAGACGTCCAGTGTATTTTTCTTTAATTAGGCCCTTGAAGATTGGTTGTTTCTTTGCTTTTTGTACCTTCGAGATTTGTTAGGACAAATATTTCTTCACATTTCTCAAAATTTAGACTTCCTCAGCAGTTTTTTCGCCATTAAGCAGTGGGGATCTTTTTTTAGCCAGCATCTTCTATGACACTGGACATAAGTTTTATTGTCCCCTTTGAAGGGCCGTTTTGAACGTTACTCATAGGTATTTGAACCTGCGATTTAAAATTAGCCACTTACTTCTTCTTTTGTACTTTTCTTGTTTATAAAGGTAATTTTCCATTTTATAGAATTTATTTTCAAAGCTGCTGTCAGAAAATAAAATTGTTTACCTACCTACCGACCCAACTGGAGAATTTAGTGTCGGGTTAGGGGAAACAAAGTTATTTTAAATTCCGGCCTTAGGTATGAAGGTATCCCTACCTTAATAGGAACTAATGTTGTAAAATAATATAATTCAATTACATTTAATCAGAATATCAATGAATGCATAATAATAAATAATTTGTAATTAT